CACTTCAAACATGGAGACTTCATTTGAGCTAAATTGTAGGATTTAATTTTGATTCAGTATTCAAATCGTGTATTGTGAGATTCAACATGGAATTCAAGGATTTATCTCAAGGAGGATTTATGCGGTTATACCTAGGAGGCTATGTTGATGTAGGAATTATTTCTTGTTTTTTTTCTTTCAAACTTTTCTATTGTCTTGAACAATATGTTGTCGTGTTAATTGTTTAAATGTATCTTGACAGGTATCTAGGGATCCCAGATGGGGAAGATGCTATGAGAGTTATGGCGAAGACACTGAAATTGTTAGAAATATGACTTCCATTATATCAGGCTTGCAGGGGCAGCCACCAGAAGGACACCCAAAGGGCTACCCCTATTTAGCTGGAAGGTAAGAGATCAATCACCATTAAATATTTTCCTATTCACATTGATCTCACAAATAAAACTTATTGCATCTGTAGTAAATTGTTATAATTCAAATAATTCATTTTTGCCGTTATTTTAAATCTTATTATGACAAGAATTCTTAACAAGAAAGTCGTACTGTTTGGCGAAAATGCAAAGAACATCGAATTCTAAAACCTTCACTAATGCATAATTCTGCTCTAACAAAAACTTGTCGGAGTTTGCCTTATCCTTTTGGGAGATTTTCCGCCATAAATTATGTTTCATCTGCTTTCATATAATCTGATTTTTGAACATTTAGCATTTGAAATATTTCATCTTGCATATTCTAACTTCTGCACACACTGATTGTGTTGTTTTACTACACATAATGTTCATTTAACTTTTTCTCTTTCTGTATTTCTAAATTAAAAGATAATATTCTTACTCTTAATCCATGATAAATGGATGCAGAAATAACGTAGTTGCGTGTGCCAAGCATTGGGTTGGAGACGGGGGGACTGACAAAGGTATAAATGAGGGGAACACTATATCATCATATGATGATTTAGAGAGGATCCATATGGCACCTCATTTGGACTGTATTTCTCAGGGAGTGTGCACTGTTATGGCATCCTACTCTAGCTGGAATGGAAGCAAACTGCATTCTAACCATTTTCTCCTAACACAAGTTTTGAAAGATAAGCTGGGGTTCAAGGTAAGTACATTGATTTATTTGTGTGCAATAATACCTTGTATTGACTCTTCTTTTCTGTCAAAGAACGCTACACGAATTTGGCATACAAATATTTAGTTGCAACTATTTAAAACTCAGACTGATATGGCTGATTTCTGATTGTTTTCTTTCTTTGTTTTTGGTTTATATATTAAGACAATAAACTGCAGTAGACCATATTCTTCTCTTGTTTTGTTAACTTTTTGGGGTGCCATAGCTACAAGATTAAAGTGCATTACATCTAGATTAATCTCTAGGCGATCATTTGCTGCAGGGTTTTTTGATTTCAGACTGGGAGGGACTTGACAAACTTTCAGATCCTTATGGCTCAAATTATCGTTATTGCATTTCATCTTCCATCAATGCAGGAATTGACATGGTAAGATAAAAACAATACAAGTAAAGATTCCTGCATGTAGTTCATATTTCTAGCCTCACTGAGAAAATTTGCAGGTGATGGTGCCTTTAAAATATGAATTATTTCTGAAGGATTTGTTATATCTGGTGGAATCAGGAGAGATACCAATGGCGAGGATCAATGATGCTGTTGAAAGAATATTGAGAGTAAAATTTGTTGCTGGACTTTTTGAATATCCCTTGACTGATAGATCTCTGCTAGTTACAGTTGGCTGCAAGGTAAGCTTTCAGAAATCATTATGTGGCTTATTGACTGCATTTAATTTAGTCACTAGAAACATAATAAACCCCCATTTCTCACCAAGCTCAATCACTTTGCCCATTGAAAGTGTTTATTTGTAGTTTCAATTTTTCCGGTTTTCTATTTTCCCCAAAATTTTAAGGAAATATTTTTACATTACTATCTCATGATTTATGAATTAGAGAAGATTTTTCTTGTTACTTATTGTACATATGAGAATGTTGTTTTGAGTATGAGAATAGCTACTTTTAGCAAATAATTCTGGAGGTTAGTCTATTACCTAGTCCACCCCCAAAGATCAGGCAATGATCTTTATTGGCAACAAACGTCATTTTCTCCATATTTTCATGATGCTTTATTTACTGGATATTTTTTAAAATGTATACATTAATAAAGCTTAATTTGCCGGTGTGAATTTTTCTTAATCAGGATACTGCATTTCTTTTAATCTCAAATAATCTAGGGGTAAAGAGAATGATTGTGTTCAACCATTTCTCAGTTGTGTGCATGTATGTTTTGTATATCAACCCAACTTTAAGGAGGGTAGTAGATTCCCCTGTGAATGTACATGAGTAACTTACTCTTTCGTGAATTATATAGAATCTTTTTGGATTAAGCAGGGATCTGTTTATCTTTTAACCTCGAGTAAATTTTTTAGTTTTTACATATTTAAGTTTCCAAGTGCACCAACTCAAACACTCTCTCTCTCTCTCTCTCACGCGTGCGTGTTAGAGTAAGGACTGCCACAAATCATGTCCCATATAGGGATTAAAAGGATTTTCTGACTAACTACTTATTCCCCTCATTTATGCTAAAAAATAAATAAATAAAAAAACATTTAAAGACATGAGGGGGCCGTTCACATGAAAGAACAGAAGTATCCATTGAGTTGTAAAAAATCTCAAAACCTGTTCTGGGATGGTACCTGATATCCTATTGCTGCTAAAATGGATTTTTTTTAATTTTTTTATTATTTACTTGTTTTTGGAGATGTCAGGCACCAATTTGTTGAGTGCATGAAAAGTGAGCCTCCTTAAAGTGCTTGAAGATAATTCAAGTATGGGGTCGAGGAACCAAATTAAAAGTTGAAATAGATTTTAATACATTTTTGGGGTTACAAAAACTGTTTTTAAATGGTTCCTTGTTACTACTTGTCCTCTGTGCTATTATTGTCTGGCATCCTCATAGACAGTCAATTCCTTTTGATCGGCTGGGTGCAACTGTTGTTAGTTGATAGCCAACTAGAGTTATTACTTGTGACAAAGTTTTGCTTTCATTATAAAATTTTCAGCTGCACAGAGAACTAGCACGTGAAGCAGTTCGCAAGTCCTTGGTTCTGTTGAAGAATGGAAAGGATCCAAAAAAACCATTTCTTCCATTAGATAGGAATGTTAAAAAGATCCTTGTTGCTGGAACACATGCTGATGATCTTGGATATCAGTGCGGCGGTTGGACAGCTACTTGGCATGGAACCAGTGGGAGAATTACAATTGGTATGTGGTTATGTAAAATTGGTAGATGAAAAAATTGCACATTAATACTTGTTACTTTATATGATGGATGTGTATCAGCATTTAAATTCATGAGTTCACTTGCATTTTAGGCACAACCATATTGGACGCGGTTAAAGAAACAGTGGGAGAAGAAACAGAAGTGGTATACGAGCAAAATCCATCGCCAGACACCTTTGTTGGCCAACATTTCTCTTTTGCCATTGTAGCCGTGGGTGAAGGTCCATATGCAGAATTCACTGGAGACAATTCGGAGCTAACAATTCCCTTCAATGGAGCTGACATCATAAGCTCAGTTGCTGAGAGAGTTCCCACAGTGGTGATCCTAATTTCTGGAAGGCCCTTGGTTTTGGAGCCAGTGCTCTTGGAAAAAATGGATGCTCTGGTTGCTGCCTGGTTGCCTGGCAGCGAAGGATTAGGAATCACAGATATTATCTTCGGAGATTATGAATTCCAAGGACAACTCCCCGTGACATGGTTTAAAGGGATTGAACAACTGCCCATGCATAGTGGTGAGAATTCATGTGAACCTCTTTTCCCCTTCGGCTTTGGGTTAACGAGCCATAAGGAGGAGCTTCTAAACTAAGAAGTTTTGAATTCATCGACCAGGAAAGGCAGAAGTGGCAGTTCATTTTTACTTCTGCTTTTGCACTAATAATTTCCTCCCATCATGCACCTCATCTACCATTTATTCCTAGCTGCAACTGGCGTCGGAATATTTGAACAAGGGTACGTGAAGATGATCAGTTTTCAATTTATGGAATTTAGTTTTTGATGGATATACATGACAAGTCCGAGCATTCCACACCAAATACATGGATCCTATATATAGCTTTCCCTTCTCCGAAGGCATGTGAGAATTGTAGGATAAAATAATGTATTAACTTGTAATTAAGATAATAAATCTCAAAAGGATTGTTATACGAATTGGTGGTGGAATGAGAAGTTAAGACATTATGCATCTTCTGCTTTTCGTGGTCCTGTGTTATTTTCTGTGACAGATATGTAACAAGTCCCGGCCCCCACAACACATTATCCACAGATCTTAATTTGTTGGGCGAAAGGAGTGTAGAGAGATGTGCATAACAAAAAGACTAGAAGATTTCATTTAAAAAATTAAAATGACAATTCAAATTTATTTCTAATAATTGTCTTCAAGGAAAGTTTAACTTTACTAAATAAAAAGACTACAATTGCTAGAATTTTTTATTTTTTATTTTTAATTTTACCAGTAATCATTTCTATACAAGAAGATTTTTCAAAACGGAAATGATAAAATTCTACCATCAATTAAAATTGATGTATTAGCAAAACTTAAATAAAAGATCGAAACTATTAATTTTGTATCATATAAAAATTTTCAACAAATATTTTCTATCATAAACTATCACACTTGGTTATTATTTTTAAAAGTATTCTTTATATTTGCTCTTGAGAAATAACCATGACAAATTTTTTTTCACTAAGCAAAATTCAAATATCACACATCCATCAATAGTCTATTAAAATTACTCAGATTTGTACAATTATTTTTTTATTTCTTTGTCCTTTTTTAAAAAAATAGAAAATAAAAGAGAATTTAGTCAACTACCCAACATAATTTCAAACGTAAGAAAAATAATTTAGTGGAAGATTAGTTAATCCTGTTCTAAGTTCCAATCTCCCCATACAAAAGTGGGTCCCACCGTCCTTTAACTACTAAATTTCCCGCGACGTAACAGATCTCCATAGTCATAGACCTTTCAACTGGGAAGATCAAAAACCCAAACCCTAAAAAAAATAATCTGGGATTTTGTTAGCACGTCGCGTGAGAGCTAAAAATGAGCAAAATAGAACTCATGAATTGCATATACAAAAACCCTAATGAACCAATTGAAGCAAGAATCAAAGATCTTCTCTCTCGAATGACTCTCAGAGAAAAGATAGGTCAGATGGCTCAAATTGAGAGACGCGTCGCCACTCCTTCCGTCATAAGAGACCTCTGCATAGGTCTCTCTCTATATTTGTATACATATTTTTTTTGTGTGTGTATATATATAATCTCTCTAGCTGTGCATTTACCTCATTTAACAGGGGTCTATTTTGCAGGAAGTATACTCAGCTATGGTGGAAGTGGGCCATTCAAGAATGCTTTGTCGTCTGATTGGGCCGACATGGTCGATGGGTTTCAAAAGTCTGCACTGGAGTCGCGGCTTGGCATTCCACTTCTCTATGGAATTGACGCAGTTCATGGAAACAACAATGTCTATGGCGCTACCATATTTCCTCATAATGTCGGTCTTGGAGCCACCAGGTCAGTTCTACTTTTACCCTGTATCATATATGCTCACACACACACATATATATACATGTGTGTGTTTATGTAGTGATTAGAAGTCAAATTGATGCCCTGAAACGCCTACTTCAAAATGTGTTGTAGAGATCCAGATTTGGCACAAAGGATTGGGGTTGCGACAGCTCTTGAAGTTAGGGCCAGTGGCATTCACTACACTTTCGCCCCCTGTGTTGCTGTAAGTTGTAATAGATTCCGTCAATCACTCTTTATCTCTATATATTTCATGCTATATTTTGTTTCAATTTGGTTAAACTCATTGAATTGATTATCCATCACTTGGTACAATGCAATTAAGAGTTATGTGTTGTTTTAAGATAAAATTTTCAAAACGAAAGGCTGCTTGTTAGTTTTTGCAAGTAGGAAAATGTTAGCTTGAGCGTTTATGCCTTTAATTACCAGTAGTTTTCATATCTTTTCTCCTTAGAGTTTCAAACTTCAACTTTTTCTTATAAAGTTCGTTATTCATGGAAATCGATGAGATTGTGGAGGATAAATATGACAACAACTTTGTCCCGAAATGTAGAGTTGTTTCCATTATTTTTTTTTAATTTCAACTTTTGGTGGAACAATGGTTGCTAGTGGAAAAACTTTGCGGAGTTTCAATTTTCTCTTTTTAAAGTTTGTAGAAAATCAAAATAACGTTTTGCCACTTCCATGAGTTCAACAAAGTGGCGCCCAAGGCAGAGACAACAATTAGTCAATTAAACTTTTCTTATCCATTAAGGTCAACTGCTTCAATAAAAGCCTTTCAAGTAATACTTAAGTAGTAGTCATAAATTGTATATTTGAATTGCTTAACAATGAGTTGTCATTTAGCTTTTGTCGTTTGCCTTAGGAATGACTAACCTTCCTTTTTATCAAGTACAAAAGGATCTCCTCATTCCTACTAGGACTTGAAACCTGCACCTTGCCCATGAGTTGGCAGGAGATAACGTTCAAGCTAGGCAACTGGAGGTGCTTTGGAGAAATTTACCCCACATTCATTTCATCGTATCACTGTCTAAAAGCAATGGTATTTTCTCTGAAGTATGATCATTGTTAACCTGAGAACTTGCAGTAGCAACTATTTGATGGGTACATATACCGGTCAACAGAGAAGGTTATATGATTCAATGGGGAAATATGGAAACTGAAATTCAATGGCCCAAGTATGGTTGCATCAAAATACTTCTTTGGTACTTTTTCATGGACTGGAAACTGAACTTTACCTGCTAGCCAATATATATTAACATACAAAGGGTTACAATTAGTTTTATTTATTTATCTTGGAATTAAATGTCATGTCCTGCATATGTGTGCGCGATGCAAACCAAAACAATCAATTCATACAATTATAGTGCTTGTGCAGTTCATAATCACTTCCAACACAGAGATTTCATTTGAGCTAAATTGTAGGATTTAATTTTGATTTGAGTGCTATCGGTCTATACTGGGCAACCTTGGTTGGATGTTCGACCGTCGGAATCAAAACCAAATTTGTGTGGTTAGACTCTTTAGCAGCCTTCCACTCTTGAGAAAATCATTAAAAGTTGAAATCACGTCATCTTTAACCACCATCCAGTACTTTTGGAAGAAAAGAGTAGTGAATCCGTCTGGTCCTGGAGCTTAGAGGATCCATTTCGAATAGAGCAGCTTTTATCTCTTCTTCCACACCTTCTGCCATTAGATGTCTACAAGCATACAAGCTTATCAATACGAATGAGCAATTCAACTCATGGATAAGTTTGTTTGCTATATATTCCTTAGATAAGCCCAATTCAACTACGACATTAAAGATAGCAGCTTTCTCTAGAGAGTGGGATTTTGACAAAGAGATTTGGGTTTGCAATTTCTTCATTTTTGAGTTGGATTTGTAATTGCGACTCCTATTCCATTGCCTCAATTGATGTTTACAAACTTTGAGTTTCTCTTAAAATTGAAAGATGTCTGATCCTGGGATTAGGGTGCCCCAATGTTGTTGGATAAGGGGTTTAAAATCTCGCTATTCAAATTGTGAATCGTGAGATTCAATGTCGAATTCAATGATTCATCGGTTATACCTAGGATGCTTTGGGGATTAAATGATTATGTTGATGTAGGAGATTATTTCTTCTTGTTCTTTCTTTCAAACTTCTCTATTGTCTTGAACAGTATTTTGTCATATTAATAGTGTAAATGTATCTTGACAGGTATCTAGGGATCCCAGATGGGGAAGATGCTATGAGAGTTATAGTGAAGACACTGAAATTGTTAGAAAGATGACTTCCATTGTATCAGGCTTGCAGGGGCAGCCACCGGAAGGACACCCAAAGGGCTACCCTTTTTTAGCTGGAAGGTAAGAGATAAATAATCATTAATATTTTCCTATTCACACTGATCTCATGATTAAAACTTATTCCATATGTAATCAATTGTTATAAGTCAAGCAATTCATTTTTGCCGTTATTTTAGGTCTTACAATGACAAGAATTCTTAACAAGAAAGTCATACTGTTTGAGAAAAATGCAAAGAACTGACATCAAATTCTAAATCCGTCACTGATGCATAATTATGCTCTAATAAGCACTTGCTGGAGTTTTCTTTATCCTTTTGGGAGATTTTCGGCCACAACTTATGTCTCGCCTGCTTTTGTATAATCTGATTTTTGGACATTTAGCATTTGAAATATTTCATCATGCATTTCCAGCTTTTGCACCCACTGATTGTGCTGTTTTTCTACATGTAATGTTGATTTAACTTTTTCTCTTTCTATATTTCTATCTTGAAAGATAAATTTTTTACTCATAATCCATGATAAATGGATGCAGAAATAATGTAGTTGCATGTGCCAAACATTTCATTGGAGATGGGGGTACTGACAGAGGTATAAATGAGGGGAACACTATATCATCATATGATGATTTAGAGAGGATCCATATGGCACCTTTTTTGGACTGTATATCTCAGGGAGTGTGCACTGTCATGGCATCCTACTCTAGCTGGAATGGAAGCAAACTGCACTCTGACCGTTTTCTCCTAACACAAGTTTTGAAAGATAAGCTGGGATTCAAGGTAAGTACATTGATTTATCTGTATGAAAAAATATCTTGAATTGGCTCCTCTTTTCCGTCAAAAAATGCTATACGACTTTGGCGTACAAATTTAATGTATAATTTCATACCCCATGGTTGATTAGTTGCCATGATAAATCTCCATTTTTGTTTCTTATTGTTTCAAATAGATACAACTATTTTAAACTCAGAATGATATGGCTGATTTCTGATTGTTTTCTTTCTTTGTTTTTGGTTGATATATTAACTATTCAGACAATGAACTACAGTTGGCCATAGTCTTCTCTTGTTTTGTTAACTTTTGTGGGTGCCATAGCTGCAAGATTAAAGTGCATTACATTTAGATTAATCTCAAGAAAAACTTTTGCTGCAGGGTATTCTGATTTCAGACTGTGAGGGAATTGACAGACTTTCTGTTCCTCATGGCTCAAATTATCGTTATTGCATTTCGTCTTCCATCAATGCAGGAATTGACATTGTAAGATAAAACAATATAAGTAAAGATTCCTTCATATAGTTCATATTTCTTACAGCACTGGGAAAATTTGCAGGTGATGGTGCCTCTCAGATATGAATTATTTCTGAAGGATTTGTTATATCTGGTGGAATCAGGAGAGATTCCAATGGCTAGGATCGATGATGCTGTTGTAAGAATATTGAGAGTGAAATTTGTTGCTGGACTTTTTGAATATCCCCTGACTGATAGATCTTTGCTAGTTACAGTTGGCTGCAAGGTAAGCTTTCAGAAATCATTATGTTACTTATTGTCTGTGTTTATTTTTGTCACTTGAAACATAATAATCTCTCATTTCTCACCAAGCTGAATCACTTTGCCATGTTGTAGGATCTTAAAATTGCTTATTTGTAATTTCACTTTTTCCAGTTTTCTATTTTCCCAACATTTTAAAGAAATTGTTTTACATTACCATCTCATGATTTATTAATTAGAGAGAAGATTCTTCATGCTATTATATGTAGTCCACCCCTGAAGATTAGGCAATGATCTTTATTGGCAACAAATGCCATTTTCTCCATATTTTCATATGATGCTTATTCTACTGGATATTTCTGAAAATGCAATCTTACATTCCATATTTTTTGTCCATGCTTGCATCAGCCTTTCTAAGATATCATGGTGGTTAATGTTTACAGATATATACTAAGCTTAATTTGCAGGTGTAAATTTTTCTTAATCGGGATATTGTTTCTTTTAAACTCAAATAACTTGGGGGTGAAGAGAATGATTATGTTCAACCATTTCTCAGTTGTGTGCATTTATGTTTTGCGTATCATTCCAACTTAAATGATAGATTCCCATGTGAATGCACATGAGTGACTTACTCTTTCGTAAATTATACAAAATCTTTATGGCTTAAGTAGGGATCTGTTTATCTCTTAACGTCTTTTAAATATCTTATTTTTTTTATCATCTTCAAGTTTCCAAGTGAACCAACTTAAACTCTCTCTCTCTCTCTCTCTCTCCCTCACACACGCGCGCGCGTTATAATAAGGAATGTTGCAAATCAAGTCCCATATAGGGATTAAAAGGATTTTCCACTAGGGAGAGGGGAAAAAAAAAAAAAAAAAAAAAAAAAAAGGGAACAAGAAGATGAGAAAGGAGTTATCAGGATATTTAAATTTCATTTCTAATCTTTTTTCTTCTTCACTGCCTTACTTAGAGCTGTAGGACTAGCAAGAACCAGTAGCTGAAAAACTAGCAACATCGGTATATCTGTCTCTTCTGATCAACTACTTATTCCCCTCATTTTTTACTCACAACAAAACATGTAGAGACAAGAGGGGGCTGTTCACATGAAAGAAGAGAACTATCCATTGAGCTGTTTTCAAAATTCTCCAACTAGTTATAGTGCCATGCACCTATTCATCACCATCACCAGGAATCTGATTTGGGATGGTACCCGATGTCCCATTGCTGCTAAAATATATGTATATACATACATACATATATATATATATATATATATATATATATTATTTACTTTGGCATGTCAGGAACCAATTTGTTGAGTGCATGAAAAAATGAGCATCCTTAAAGAGCTCGAACATCATTCAATTATGGGGATGAGGAACCAAATTAAAAGTTGAAATAGATTTTAAAACTTTTTGGGGGGTTACGAAAACTGTTTTAAGTGCTTCCTTGTTACTACTTGTGCTATGTACTTTTGTCGGTCATCCTCATAGACAGTTAATTGCTTTTGATCCACTGAGTGCAACTGCTATTAGTTGATAGCCAACTAGGGTTATTACTTGAGACAAAGTTTTGCCTTATTATAAAATTTTCAGCTGCATAGAGAGCTAGCACGTGAAGCAGTTCGCAAGTCCTTGGTTCTGTTGAAGAATGGAAAGGATCCAAAAAAACCATTTCTTCCATTAGATAGGAATGCTAAAAAGATCCTTGTTGCTGGAACACATGCTGATGACCTTGGATATCAGTGTGGCGGATGGACTGCTACTTGGGATGGAATCAGTGGGAGAATTACAATTGGTATGTGGTTATGTAACAATATATACCCAAACACCGCTATTAGTAATATGATGGCTTGGTTCTTAATATTAAAGTGATGAATGATCATTGGCATAATTTCACTTAATGCTGATGATGGTCATGAATTCCCTTTTCAATATAAAAAGAAATGCAGTATTTAAAATGCATGTGAACAACAAGCACACAGGATCTTGCACATGTGGTACATGAATGATTATAGAAATATATCAAAGATTTTGTTAGTCAAGAAGAAGAAGAATCATTTTCTATGAAACTTAGGTTTTATATATATATTATAGTCCAGTATTGTAGAGGAGCTATGTTGGGATAAAAATTGGTAGACGAAAATTTTGTTGTTACTTTATTTGATGGATGCCTGTGAGCATTTAGATTCACGAGATCACTTGTATTTCAGGCACAACTATATTGGATGCGGTTAAAGAAATGGTGGGAGAAAAAACAGAAGTGATATACGAGCAAAATCCATCACCAGACACCTTTGTTGGTCAAGATTTCTCTTTTGCCATTGTAGCTGTGGGTGAAGGTCCATATGCAGAATTCACTGGAGACAATTCAGAGCTCACAATTCCCTTCAATGGAGCTGACATTATAAGCTTAGTTTCTGAGAGAGTTCCTACAGTGGTGATCCTAATTTCTGGAAGGCCGTTGGTTTTGGAGCCATTGCTCTTGAAAAAAATGGATGCTCTGGTTGCTGCTTGGTTGCCTGGCAGCGAAGGATTAGGAATCACAGATGTCATCTTTGGAGATTATGAGTTCCAAGGACAACTCCCCGTGACATGGTTTAAAAGTGTCAAACAACTGCCCATGCATGCTGGGAAGAATTCATGTGACCCTCTTTTCCCCTTCGGCTTTGGATTAACAAGCCATAAGGATGAGCTTCTAAACGAATAAGTTTTGACTTCATCAACCAAGAAAGGCAGATGTGGGATTCGTGTTAAAATATTCTGGTTGGTAATAAACTTCAGTCTATCTTCTTTTCTGCACTTATGATTTCCTCCCATCATGCACTTCATCTACCATTACTCCACCACCTATTCCCAGTTGCAACTGGTGTCGGCAATTTATGGTGGTTAATGTCAGTCTTTTCCAAAGGCATGTGAAGATTATAGGATAAAATGTAATAACTTGTAAGAGCATAAATCTCAAAAGACTGTAATATGAATTGGTGGTAAGAGAACTTGAGACAGAATGCATCTTCTGCTTTCCGTCCTCGTGTATTATCTTCTCTGATAGGTATGTAACGAGGCCCCCACAAGGCATTATTCGCAGATATTTGTGGGACGGAATGAGTGTAGACTGTAGAGAATCAAACTTGCTTCCAAACAGAGCCCCTCACTGACCTTTTCCCCCATCGCTTTCTGGATATGAATTGAAGCATCAAATTGTTACATGGGCTTAGGATTCATTGGCAGCATTTGTGAGAGAGGAATCAGAATATAGAGAGTCTAAAGAAGGAGAGAGGAAAACAAGTTGAACCGAAAGTGTGAAGTCCATTGTGTGTTGTATGTGGCTGCAACTGGTTAAGCAGTAGATTGAAATTAGAATAAAGTGGGCAAGGTGCCTTTAGAATGCAACTTGCAGAAAGACTTCTCCTTTTGAAAAAGAAAGTGGTTAAGTTTGTCAATTACTGTAGAAAACTAGTTGCCTTAAATTCTTTTTACTTATTGGGTGGGACTGAATATACTATGTACAAGTGACATTGATGGTTGTTAGGCTTTTTATGATAGCTATTGCAGCAAACAACAATGCTCACAGTAATACAAAAGCAATAACAACAAAGTGATGGAAACAGCATACTACAAATTGAGATTTGTTCCTGCCATTTGTCGCCTTTCTTAGTGGATACCTACTCTCCTGATACAGTGATAAAACTGATCACCATAATGAGCCAATTCTGGGTGAATTCTCATGTCTGTGTGTGTGTGTGTGGGTGTAGTGGGGGAAAGAGAGAGAGAGAGATATTCAAAACCTAACTTGATGATTGAGCAAAGGTGTGTTACATGGGTACTTGATCAAACACTGGCACTGTTAATAATTTATTATTGTCATGTTGTCTTGGATAATAAATCATTAGTTCAAAAGTAGTACTCCACTTAAAATAAGAAGTGGAAAAATCTGTTTAGGATAATTTAATTGAAATAATTATCTTTATTTAGTGTAAGTTATTGCACTTTATTCACTATTCTTTTAGCATTATCAATTCCCCATAATTATTTGATCTTTTAACATATGATCCTCTTTCATTTGTTGTCTCTTGTCAAAAACTTTTCTGCTATAATCTTGTCTCCATCTATCACCTCTTCCACTAATTTATGTGCTTATGGGTTATTAAGATGCAACTTGTTTACTTTGTTTTCCTTTGGACATGCTAGGAAACTAGGCCGTGAGCACTTAAGTGGTATCTCGGAGTCATTACTGCCATCAATGTGTACCCATTGGAACAAAGAATCGACTTTAAAACAGTACCAAATACCTAGCACGCTTCTCAATTTTTTTTTTTTTATTTTATAAGACAATAAGGATTAGAAGTTAGATTAGTAAGTTAAAAGTTAGATTAGTAAGTGTAAAGAGTCAAAGTCTGGTACTCTCAAAATCCACCGAAAGTACTAACCAGTGGACTATCGAGGTATCTACACACTTCTCAATTTCAAAAGCTAGTTTTTTATTTTTATCTTTTGTTTCTTAGAATATAATCATAATTGGATATTTATTCAATTTAACTGTTTATATTATTGTATCATTCATATATTAAATTGTCCACCAGAATCTTCCATAGAATTGTAGAAAATTAAATATGAATGGAAATTTCCACCACCAAAACGAGATATAAGAGCCCGTTTAAAGACAAAAAATTGTGATCCATGCTGATTATAAAATTGTTAAGGACGATATGCCTAATGTAAAAGCTAGCTAAGGTATCTTGTCTCTGTTCCCAGAATCACAAAATTAAGCTTCAGATTTAGAGAACAGTAAAACCTTTTTGGACTTTATTAGTGCTTGATGGTACGGTACTCTTAGAAATCACAATTGGATCTCTCAGAAAGAAACATAATCGACAACATATATTAAAGAACAAAAGACTAACCTAAAAAAAACACACACACATTAAAGGTGTAATCTGGCATGAATCTTACTTTATACTACATAATCCTCTAAGTTTAACGCTTAATCCAATGTTCCTATAGGTAGGATCTTCTTCGATCTCAAAAGGTCCCATGCCAAAAAAAAATTTTAAAAAAAAGGCAGAGAGGATTGAATTTGAGCATATGGTGCTTTAATTAGTGGAATGTAGACTCAGCTTCGATGAAGTTTCACAGGTCAAACATGGTCAACTAGGTCATTTTCACTGAAAAAATTTCGAATACCAGTAATGGTATGGTCTGAATGGGTTATGGAAGAAAGAAAAGCAAGCAATCAGATACAAAGGAATTCCAAAAAGAGTGCTTTGTGACTCAGCCATTTTGTGATGAGCATCCAATTGAAAGGTCCATAAGTTCAAATTGATTGGTTCAGCTCCTTTGAACTCTTTGGCTTAACAAAAATAGACACGGTGGGATCCAAGTCTGGATAAACAAGGAGGGTTGCGTTAGGCAGCTCCACAGCTTACTTGAAACTCTTGCATGACCAATGAGAACATAAAAAAAGAAGGGTAAATTCAGAGTGCCCGATTCTAAAGAGGATTAGATGTTCGCAGCCTTACCAATCTGAACACAAATATAAAAGTGCGAAAAATATGTTTGATTATAACTCAAAGTAAGGGCAATGACTGAAGAAAACAAAAGTGATAATTTCACACTTTATACATATCAATGACATTTTCCCCATAAGATCTTATATGCCTTCTTCCCCTTGCCAACTATAGCAGAAACATGCTTAGCTTTCAACCCACGATTGAATATTGCTTATTTTTTTGATGTCTTCTATCTCATTCTCCATACAAATTCCGAATTGCCAAAACATTTTCTTTCTGCATAGAAATCTTCAGGAACCATCTTCAGATCCGCTCTTTTGCCATTGCTAATCCGATTATTTACCCCTAAAAGAACCACATTTCTAACAGATATGTCATGCCCAATCTGAAAATGCTCCGTGGATAACAAGTCCAATCTAGAACCACTGATCATTCAATACACGAAAAACCTATAATTTGTGAATACTCTGTTCCGGTTTCACCTTCCTGAAGATGAAGTTCCAAGCCACACATGATTCTGTCTCCCTCAAGTTCAACTAATAGGGGACTAACTCAAAATGCCAGAGAACATATTCACATAAAGACCAGAGAAAGAAGCACAAAAGCAGCTACACTACAGAACTGAAATAAGACGAGGCATTTTCAAAGCCATCGAGAGTTTACATGACAATTGCTATCTCATCCGTGAGGGTAGTGCTGCACCGGTTGCATCTGAAAAACCATATTTTGAGATCCACGGTATGGTTCATGATGCATAGCACTCTTCTGCACATTTTGATTCTGCATCTTAAGCTCATACGAGTTAATCCCGTAAGGATCAGACATGAACATATTTCCATGTGTTGTGTTGAAAGCAATTGCTCCTCCGTTATTCGACTGATTCCATTGAAATTGTGTCCTGGACATTGAACCAGAATTTGTTAGCTGAGAAAGCCCGGTAGACTGCTCCATCGAATGAGATCTTTTATTGTCCGGTGAGGGAGTTTGGTTGTCGTTGAGATTGACGGTTGTTATATCATGGATACTGGCTCTTCTCTTGTCTTTCCCACCAGAAAGCTGTCTGATGAAGTATTTCTGAGCATGGCTAGCCACTTGAGTCGGCGTTCTACTCGTCACAAAATTTCGAGAGATGTTTCTCCAGTCCCCTTTGCCATACTTTTTAAGCCCCAACAGAAACAATCTGTAGTCAATCATCCAAAAACCCATGTCAAAAATCAACCGAATGTTGAAACTCAACTTGGAAAAGTAGAAAATGATCAAATAGTGCAAAGAAAATAACCACTTAAAAGCTACTACCACCCGAAAGTCAGCACAATTAAAGACTTCTACAAGTACATCTATGTTCCAAGCTTGTTAATTGTCAATCCACTTTTCAATTAATCAAAAGAACCATATCCAGTTTGTGATAATAATATAAGTGGTCCTCACAACATCTTGAAGACAAAAACAGACTAATCACATTAAATCACGCAATTAAAGCGCACACTAAAATTAAAATTAGGTAGAACAATAATTTGAAGGGGGAAAAAGAACTTACTTATGCTCTTCTTCTGTCCATGGCACCCCCTTCTTCCTCTCCTGTTCGGAAGGCCGAGCCGACGAGGATCGCTTTCCACCGGGGCCATAGGACTGCTTGAACCCATCAAACCCATGACTGTTACCCCAATCCAATGTGAAAGGGGAAGTACTATAGCCAGGAATTGGAATCAACCCCGCTTCTATACTACTCACATCATCCTCCAATTCCTTATACTGCTTAAACACGTCCTCAGCAGTCTTCCCGGGGATCAAATCAGCCACTTTCTGCCACCGATCCGGCGTCGTGTCGTCGTAGACTGCAAGAGCATTCTCAAACATTTTGTTCTCTGCTGGGGTCCATTTTGTGCTCCTGCTCTCTTCAAGAAACCAATTGAAGCTCGGAAGGTAAGACCCCGGCGAAATAATCTCCATTCCCCACCTCATAACATCAATTTACTCAGCTAAATTGTGTTTGAAACTCTATTTTGATTCACAATTTTGTACAGAGACTTCAAAATCGAGGTTTCGGATTTATTGTGAAAACAGAGCAAGAGTAGGAGAGAGCAGAGTGGAAATGGTGAGAGGTGGAGGTTTTACAATGACAACATCAGCGTTAAATCAAGAAGCATTTTGAAAGGAATCAGAATACCTTTTTTCCTGTATAGCCACCCCCGAGAATCTAAAAAATACCCACCTTTTCAAAATCAAAGAAAAACTCCCAGTACAATTATAATTACAGAAAAGATATATATATATATATATATATTCACCAAGAAAAAACCCTAGAAAGCCCCACCAAGATCTGAACCCATTGAACTTCCTGGGATGAAAAAAGGGAAAGGAGAAAAGCAAGACCCAAGACCAACTCCAAGAAAATGAAACAGAAAATATTTAGAATTTGAACAGAGGGAAGCTCACAAGTGAGAGTTAACACTTGTTTTTTTGTTTTTTTTTATTTTTTCAGCTTCAACCTCTTGACAACCACCCAATCAGGAAAGAGAGAGAAAGAGAAGCTGAAAATACATGAAGAGGACAGTATATGTAGCACCTGGAGAGTAGAGAGAACCGACCACCCAAGAGCTGGGAAATGAAAACCACCTGGTGGGAAAACAAGGGGGATTCTGAATTCCCTCAGAGGAATTGGGGTTTGTGAGAAAGGTTTTCCCCTTCTTTCCTTTTTCCTTGAGGTTAGAGCAAAAAGGAAAAGCGAAGAAAGCAGTTAAAAGAGAAAGACAATGGAAAAGCAAAATAGCAAGCTTCAAGGAATGAATCTAAATTTGCTAAAAATCTTTGAAGAGAGAGAGAGAGAGAGAGAGAGAGAGAGATCTACAGGGCTAAAAACAGAACTAGAGAGAGAGAGAGGGGTTGAAGGTGGTGGGATGTGATTGGATGTTATGATGTTTGTGGATACTGCAACTTATGAAAAAGTTCCTTCTTATTATAATGCACTCTCTCTGTTCTGTTTTTTTTGTATTAAAGAAATACATTTTCTTTCTCAACTTTACATTGTCAAACTAGCATGGGTTGGCACCTCATGACGCCCAGTGGAAGCTCACTAATATATATCACTAGTAAAGGAATCTCATACACATATGTAATTTGACCGAATAGAGAGATAATTTTACTCTCTGTCTCTCTTATCTAGCTATCGTTGTCTTTCATTTTACTCGTTTGGAGGATTTTTTTTAAACGGTAAACAACTGTTTGTCTAAACATAGGGCAATACAGTACTATTTTTTTTTTAACTTATGTTTTACTTTCCTTTAATGAGAGTATGAATTTTTTTTGAGTAAAAATAAAAAATAACAAAAGGCTAATTCTGAGATTTATGTCATTGAAATTCGAAGAAAATTTGATACTCCGTATATGCTATTTTGCCTCCACATTGATAGAAGAAACTACACGTCTTTATGAGGTGATTTTAGAAACTCGGAAATTTTTTTAATAAATAAAAAGAAAATTGTCAACCTATGCAAGCCCTATTAATGTATATGTCACAAAATGGAAGGTTTAGAAAATAAGAACTTCTTTGATTTGTCATTTAAAAAATATAAAATTATTTTAACATAATTATAAAAATGCAAAACATGCCTTATAACTGTATTTTTTCAAAAACTATCGACCAAAATATTTTTATTAAAAAATAATAAAAAATTAAGAAAGTGAACCAAAAAGTCAATATGGAATGTCTACGTTTTTGCTTAAATTTAGTGTAAATTACGCTGACATTCGTTAAGGTTTATACAAATTACGCATTGATACATCGTTTAGCCTTTATTATTTTAATCTCCTTTGAATGAGAAAAGTTAATAATGTCCTTTATATTTTAATTTTTTAATGAACAATTACTTTTTGTCCACATTATTGGAAAAAAAAAAAAAAAAAAACCTGCTCAAAGTAAGGATAATATGGCTATTTTATTAAAAAATAATAATAATAAGAAAAAGAGTGTCCTTTAAGCTTTAACGTACACATCAAATCTCAAATGAGATAAATATAGAAATTCCGAGAAAGTTAGTATAATTCACCCTTAAATTCATGTGCATGTACCATGTATAGACAGGGCAACCTTAAATTCATGTGCATGTAACATGTGTATATAGGGCAATCTATCTTACCCAAAAAAATACAATAATAATAAAAATAAATAAAAAATACTGATATTGGGCAATCTAACGGCTAGGATAATTAGACATTTACGATCTCTCAACTTATATGGACAGATCCGAGAGGTGGCAGGCAAACTTACGGTCGAGATCAATAGTAAAGTACAACTGCAACATAATGTGGTGGGGACCACCACACGGTTACAAACACCTCCCATTGGCCATATTCCCACATAATTGCATAGGGGCGTTGGGTGATTCCCTGCGTTGGCTCATCATGGCGGACAATGGTTGAATACATAATAATGAATTGATTGGTTAGGAAAAAGCTGAGTAAAGTGGTCCAAGACGCAAGGATCAAATCATGTTGAATTTACGACTGTACAGAGCCACGTAATAAGACCAAGCCCAAACGATTTCATGAGATTCAATCGCAGGTAATCGTAACTAATTCAACCTCTAGCCAGCCAGCCAACCACCGCCTCTTCCAACACCCGTCACTTTCTTACATTGTTGGTTAGTGAAATTGAGCAAAGGAATACTTTTATCCCACTGCCACCCAAAAACGCGTGTAATTCAGATTACCAATCAGGGCGCGAATCACCCGCTGTGCTCATGCAATTTCCTGCAGCGAGCATAAGTGGTCTTGGTTTGGTCACGTTTTATTCCACTTAATAGACACTAACACTGTGTTTGGCAATTGCACCACCATTTATAAGTAACATTTCACCACTATTTTTAAGTAACGTCATAGAAGTCTAAAAGTAATATCATATAGTCTAAAAAGTAACATCACCATCATTTATAAGTATCTTTCACCCTTAAAACGTGATAATGTTACTTTTTAAACTATGTGATATTACTTTTATACTTCTGTGATGTTACTTATAAATGGTAGTAATGTTACTTTTTAAACTATTTTTACATTTCACCACCATTTATAAGTAACATGACAGAGTCTAAAAAGTAATATCACCATTTGTAAAAGGAAACATCACCACTTTTAATTTCAAATAATAACATAAATGATATGTTGAATTTAATTATGTTTATACATGACATTTCTTTTTAGACTATATGATGTTACTTATAAATGGTGGTGAACTGTTACTTATAAATAGTGGTGTAATTGGCCAAATACAGCGTTAATGTCAGTTAGCTGAAGAATAATGTGGCCAAATATGGACCACTTAAAAGTGACACCAGGAAACTTGTTAAGTAATAATGTTGCATAAAGTGCTTTATTACTAATTTTATTATATTACCTCCACACTAATATACATGTGTTAATTTCCTAAAATTAAATATTATAAAATTTCACCGAGTTCAATAATTTATGACAATTAACTTGTATTGGTTTATTTTTATTTTTTAAAATATTACATATTTCGTTTATGATATAGTTTTTTTTATTTAGTACTAAAATATAAATAAGTTAAACATAATTTAATGATTATTAATTTGTATTTGATTTGGAATTTTCTAGTAATAGTAAAATAAGCAAACTCTACACAGAACACAATTTTAAAAATTACAATTCCTAACTTTACTTAAATGTGTATTTTAACGTAACCTCTACCACTTTTAAGCGCTTTATATTTTCAAAAAACATATTCAACCGCAATTTTTTTAAATTAAAGTATTTTTCAATGGTAGAAAAACAACCCCAAACACCCACTTAGAAAAGTTTGACATCATTCTGACAAAGCTTTAAAATTTGTCAGGTCCGAATCTACTTCAATTAATAATAAACAGATATTAAATATTTTTTATTAATTAGAGTTTTTTTTATTTGAATTATAATTTTAAATCTAAACAGTATTTTTGTTATTATGGTTGATAAGTGTTTAAACTTGAGCTATTTTTTTAAAAATATGTACATCAAGTGACTTTCGATGTGAGGTAGGGGCGGGGCGAGTTTGGGAAAAAAATATTCATGGATTGACTTTGGATATGCCCGATGTTGAACCCATTCTCAACTCTTGTAATGTCGGAAAACGAGTCATAATGCAATGGTAAGGTTCTTTCATTATGATCTAAAAGTCAAATGAAACTTAAAAGTCATATATTTGAAATTTTCTAGTAATTTAGTAAAATAAGCAAACTCTACACGGAACACAATTTTAAAAGTTACAATTCCTAACTTTACTTAAATGCGTTTTTTAACGCAACTTCTACTACTTATAAGTGCTTTATATTTTCAAAAACATATATTTGACAACAATTTTTTTAAATAAAAGTTTTTTTTCAGTGGTAGAAAGTAACCCCAAACACCCACTTAGAGGTGTTTGAGATCATTCTGACGAAGTTTTAAAATTTGTCATGTCTGAATCTGCTTCAATTAATAATAAACATATATTAAATTATTTTTTATTAATTAGAGTTTTTTTATTTATATGATAATTTTAAATCTAAACAATATTTTCATTATTATGGTTGTTAAGTGTTTATATTTGAGTTTTAAAAAAATATTTACATTGGGTGACTTTCGATGTGAGGTGGGCACAAGTTTGAAAAAAATAAAATAAAAATTCATGGATCGGTTTTGGGATGGGATTGCCCACTATTGGAAGCCGAGTTATAGTGCAATGGTAAGGTTCTCTCATTATGATCTAAAAGTCTAATGAAACTTAAAAGTCAACTATTTGGAATTTTCTAGTAATACGGTAAAATAAACAAACTCTACACGAAATGCAATTTTTAAAGTTACAATTCCTAGCTTTACTTAAATGCAGGGGCGGAGCGAGAAATATAAAGTTGGGAGGGTCAAATTACTAGTATAAAATTGTAACAAAAATTTTTTTAGTGCATTTTAGACCCATTTTTTTTTTTTTTTCCGTTAACATGTCTATAAATGATATGTAAAGAAAAAATGGAGAGAAGAACATATGACAGTCGATAAACAAGGTTGTCAAATTAAAATATTTTTTTTATATTTTTAATTCATAACAAACAATATATATGTGTGTGTGTGTGTGTGTCTGCAGTGTGTGCTTGTGTATATGCATAGAGTACTATATAATAATAAAACTAAATATTGTATGAAGGATATGAATAGAGTAATCATATGTTATATCAAGATTGTAATAATAGCCTTCCGAAAAAAAAAAAAAAAAAAAATCGTTAAACTTTGAGAAACACAAGCAATTTCTTTTGCAAACCCATTTTAATAACCATAAATAAGTAACAAACATAAGTTTTTTTTGAAAATTTGGGAGGCCAATTTTTATTTTTCTATAGTAAATTACCATTAATAATTATAAATATACACTATTAATAGAAGTTACAGAAAATTTTTAGGGGGCCAATTTATATTTTTCTATACTAAATTACCTTTAATAAATATAAATATACACCACTAATAAAGGTTACAGAAATTTTTTTTTTAGTGGGGGGGGGGGCTGAATGTAACCTCTACCATTTATAAATGCTTTATATTTTCAAAAAATATTTTCGACCACAATATTTTTAAATGAAAGTATTTTATAGTGGTAGAAGAGCAACTCCCAAACACCCATCTAGAGGAGTTTGACATCATTACTCACGCTATTCCCAACCTCTCATCACAATCACTACCACGATACCTTCTCTGAAATTATTAACCCTTCCCCCCTCTACTACACTAGTTTCCTCTCCAAGTTTAAAATTTGTCGGGTTTGAATCTGCTTCAATTAATAATAAACATATATTAAATATTTTTTTATTTGTATGATAATTTTAAATCTAAACAATATTTTTGTTATTATGATTTTTTTTTTTTTGAAAGTTCAAACAATTACTCACACACTCTATATCCACCGAGGTTCAAACCCCCGACCTCCCCTTTGAAGAAAAGG